TTCAATAGCCTGTATAATTACCATGAGGGCATGAGTTGCATCTTAAATATGTTTTTAGGGTGGTACATCATTATATGGTACAGACAAGTCTATTCCTAATCAATCTTCTCCACAACCATTAGATATCTCTTCTTCTATTCTTCCCATTTCTGCAACTTGGATAACTTCACTCTGGTTTTATCTGTTCTGGCCGCCTAAAACTTACCTCTCACCCAAGAAGTTTACATAGCTATGCAAAGACCCCTCCAAGCAACTTGAAGGTGTCATTAAGATATGATGGATCCCCTTCAGTACAGGAGGCTGCCACAACAAGGGGATTTGGAGAAGGGCTTTAAGCATAACCTTGGCCAATGATAATAGCACTGAATACCTTCACCTTTTCGAACTCCACTCCTCACAGAAAGGAGGACAACCACTCTGAAGTGCCAAATACATGAATACTGCTTAAGACATACCTCATTTGACTTAGGCAGAAAGCCATATTGATTTAAGCTTTCAATGCACCCTCTCAAAAGAAGAAAGGACAGTCTTTTGGTTCAAAAATGCAACTGAAAGTTGATGCATATGAATTCCATTCCTGGCTCTGCCATGAACACCTTGGCCTTTTCTATATGAGAAAAATCAATACCGTTAACTTCCTGTGGATGCAGTAACATAATTGAAGGCTATAAATTACTCAGGAACTCTATTTACATGTTTTCAACTATTTAAAACTACACCTAGTTGGGAATAAAAATTTACTGTTGCCTGTGTAGTTAGAATCACACAAGAGTTGTGTCTAAATTACTTAATTGGTCTGTGCCTCATTCCACCTGAAAAACAATAGCATTTCCTTACCTCAGAGGGATGTTATTTATATACATTGATAAAAGACTCTTGGTAAGTGCAATAGTTTATCATGATGCTAATTACTGAAGCACAAATAGCAATTGGAATCTGCAAAAGAGTGTTAAAGATCAATATTTTCATTAAATATATTAATCAAAATGCAATAATTTTCTATTTGATTCAGTCTGAAACTGAGTTTCATTTCATATGATTCAATTTAAAATAAATTGGCATTCACTTTTACCATCTCATTTCCTCCCCTTCCAAAAATGCTGGGGGGAATGTAAAAAAAGGAAGGAAAGGGGAGATGCCAGAAATGCTAAAATACTTCATTTTGAATGCAAATGAAACAAGATTTATTTAGATGTATCAGAACACTTCAAACATGTAGAAAGCATTTGAAAATATTTATATTAGTCATTTTTGTCCAAGTAGCTCAGCAACCAAATCTGCTAATGAACTTCATTAGATTAATACAAGCTGGGCATGCATGTTATATGGATATAGATCTCATAGAGCAGAAAAATGCTTTTCAAACCGTTACAGTATGTAGTATTTGGTATGTCTAGCTTAAATGCTTTAAATGTAGTTGATTCCTTCTTTGTGGAATTTGTAAATCAATCGTTTCAAGAATATGATCAGGCAGTACAAGCATTGAGGGTTAACTAATGGAACAGGTTAGCACTGTTGGGCAAAAAAAATGTGGTAGGCTGCCCCTTTCGGAAACTAACACAATGCAAAAGACCTTTTTGGATTGCAGCCTCTGCAGCTTGTATCTCCCAAAATGCAACTACAGCTTCTGTAGACATACTTGAACTGCCAGTAAGCTCTCAGTGAAGCTGCAGAAGCGTGTTTCAAGAGTTGCATACACACCCAGGACCACCTTTGGTTGTGGGTAGTTCCCACTGAAGTCTGTGCAGCTGTGGTTTGGTTAGAGCTAGGTTAAAGATTTCAACACCAGTTGCAGTAATACCTCTGAATGCAGTATAGACAGAGCAGGTAAGGTCCAACAAAGGACCAGAGGAAACAATTAGATTAAGCTTCAGGAGATATGACCATCTTATTGCTTTCAGGGTCATACACTGCTGTACAAAATCCATTGAAAAGGAAGCTATGATTTTAATGAGATTTGAACAGCAATAAAGCCAAATTTACTATTTGTAGATTGTGCATGTGCATTCCCTAAAGACAGGGTGTGGAATGCTTGAAAGGATGAAGACTGGCCTTACTGGGTGGGATCACAGTATTTTGCTTTCAGCAGTAACCAGAACTTGATGCTGAAAAAGATATAGTGCAGTAGGCCAGTATGTTCATGGATATGTTCAAGTGTAAAACTTCCTGAAATAGTTTAAACTATCAGGAAGACATCATTTCTAGTACTAGTGCTTAGAACAGAAGACTAGGAGTTGGGAGATCAGGATTCTAATCTCAGCACTAATACTTGTTTATGTGATCTAGGGCAAGTTATTTTACTTTTCATTGGATTCCCCATTTGTGAAACAGAGCTATAACTCACCTTTGTAAAGCATTTTAAGATCTTTAGATGAATAACTATTTATCTTTTACATAATTTATGATGATACTCAACCAACATTGCCACTACCAAGAAAAAGTGAAATAATTTTCTAGAGTTGTTTTTTCTTTTTGCCAAAATTCACGTTCATGTGAAGGTTCAGTTATGGTATTTTAAAAATTGTCAGATTCAGGAATGCAAGTTTGAATAATAAAAAATATGCACGTTTCCACTGAGTGAAGTTGTTTTCATCTTTAAATTTAAGCCCTTCCCAAAGTTGTTTCCTCACAAAAAGTCAATTGATTGAAAATATGCTACCAACACCCCAGCCCCAGATCCTTTAGGTTTCCAGCTGTAGCCTGTTTTTCTATATCTCTTTCACTTGAATTGCAAGTTCTTACACTATAGGGACCATCTGTATTTAGTCTTGTATTTTATCTTGATTTTGTCACATTTAATAGTGGTTTTCACCAATCTATTGTTCTAAAGTGAGACTTTCATCCAATTCACTTGCTAAATTAGACTTCAGGCTAATTAGGACTTGCTCATTTGAATTAAAGCTAGAGGTTCCTGGCTAGAGGGTCTTGCCCCTCCACTCAGGATCAGACCAATCTCTTATTTGGGGTCAGAAATAAATTTTACCCCATGGTCAGATTGGTATGAACTATGAGTGTTTTTGTCTTCCTCTATAGGAGGAGGAGGGGCACGGCCTTCTACCTGGGACCTCCTGAGTATATATTGTTAAGATGTTATAGAAGCAGGACATTGGATGCCATGGTTCTCCTGCTTTACCTATGGCAGGTGAGGGTGTTTGGTCTATGTTGCATCAGGGTTGACAGTTTTATGTAGAGCTTAAATTACGGTTGTATGGGATGACTGGATAGGGATCAATCCTGTCTGTGGAAGGGCATCGGACTAGATGACCTCTGGAGGTCCCTTCCAGCCCTAATTCTCTGTGACATTTTTCTATCATTGTAACACTTGAAACCCTTCCTTGTTTGCTGTGTGTATTTGACACCACTCTTCAGTCCATTTCATTGCTTTGCTGCTGCTCAGCATGTTAACATGAGAGCATCAGGCTAAGGTATCGTTCTGCAATAGGGGAAGAAAATATTACACGCCTTCTCCCCCCTCCCTCAAGGCCAAGGGGAAGAAAAGCTTACTTGCACACCCATCCTGGTTTGAAGGTGTCTTATAATCCCAGATCCCAATCCTAGAGCCAAGAAACAACAGGATCTATAGACAGTAGCCTAAGAAACCCCTCCATAGGTCCCTTCCCCATACTCCAAGCTCCTACACAGAAACCAGGAAACAAAGGATGAGTTTGGATGGGTTTACTTTCCAAGATGCTTTGGTGCTTACCAGGATCTGGGGGAACATCTGTCCTCTAGAGAGCCCCAACAGATGACAAGGTTGAATGGTCACAAACTCCTCCATGACCGTTTCAGGCTGGATATAAGGAAGAACTTCTTTACTGTCCGACCACCAAGGTTTGGAATAGACTGCCACCAGAGGTGGTTCAAGCACCTACTCTGAACACCTTCAAATGACATCTGGATGTTTACCTTGCTGAGATCCTACGATCCCTGCTGACTTCCTGCCCCTGGGTTAGGGGGCTGGACTCTCCGATCTTCCAAGGTCCCTTCCAGCCCCAATGTCTATGAAATCTATGACCATATTGCTAAATAGAGGCAGTTGTGTGAAGGAGATGTCCTTTATTACCACATCTTGAAGATGCCCAGATACTGGCATGCCTTAAAACAATACTGCTGAAGAGGAGCTTTTTAGAAAAGCAAACTGATTAACTTTCAATAGTGTGTTCAAGAACTGTCAGCCCAGTCAGCTGACACTGTCATTCTCCACTGGAAAGAAACTAATAAAGGCCTCATAAGGTTCTGTTTGTCTCAGTAATTAATATGACTCAATTTACAATTAAAAACCTTAGGTCAGATCCAGAAACATGCCTAGATCCCAGAGTGCAAGGTATCTGTGCTGCTTATGCAATTGCATGGAGAGACTTGGGTGCCTAAAAATGGCCTTCACAACAGTGCTGAGCAGGCGTGCACCTGAGCTAGTACACAAGAAATGCTGACAAGAATGTCCAATTCCCACCTTTTCTAGACTTAGGTGCTTGATTGCAGTCCTGATTTTGACACCTAGACCAGACTGAATTCAGATGTTAACATCCATCCCCACCTCCCTCTCCTCTCCCCATCCCAAACTTAGGCACTTAAGCACTCCATTTCACTGGCCAACTGATCCATCCTTATTTTTTAAAAACAGGATCATTAGGGTGGTGGCAGTGCCCACCATTTATGCAAAGCTTTACCCAGGAAATGGGACATCTTGGCTCTATTCCTCCCCCAGCCTAAGAAACCTACTTTCCTCTGACCTTGATGGTAGGGAGGTAGGAAAAGGCTTTTTGAAGCTGGGCCATGGCACAGCAAAGAATGCAAGTTCCATAGGGTCAGACAAAGAATAAGGAAGAGGGAAGCATGTTTCTATAGCCATTTGATAAGAGTATTCATTTGTCCAATCACTCTTTAACACAGATAGATACAAGCAATCCTGGGAGGAAGGATCAGCATCCAAAACTTCTCAGTCCTATCTTTGTTGTTAGAGGCAGGGTTCTACAAATAAAAAAAAAAAATAGCCTACCTTGATATTTGTCTTTTATTGAGCTTCTTCATCATATTTTAAACTGACTTGCATCACAGTTACATATGGTTACACAAATTTATTCAGTACCATAATATTCATACATGGTATTAATACTTTTTTAAAGGTGTTAATGTTGCCGCCCTAATATTTTATCAAGTAAGAAAGCCAACTTGCACCTCATCTATTGCAAAGAATTAGTCAATGTATGAAGGTTTTAATTAACACTTTCCTAACACAAATTTAAATTTTAAGCCCCAGACTCCATGTGAATAAGCTCTTAGAGTGTTCTGTTCTTTGTTCTGACCCATTAAGGCATACATAAATAAATATTACAACATTGCAGCACTAAGGCAACAAGGTGCTGGATCAGGAGATAATATTGCCAAGACTGTGTTCTTAGAGGAGCTTGTTAATGTAGTACTTATAAAAACTGAAGAGCTACCATCACAGACCAGTCGGACACAATGCTGGCAAGCACCGTGAAAGCTCTCACGCAACTCTGACCATGCAAGTGCCATGTTTTAATTTTGGCTGGCAGAGCCCCAGCTATGCCAAATTCTAAGCAATTTTGTGGCAGTTGTGTGTGGTGAATTTCACCAAGTGATGAAACTAATAACTCATTTCCTTTGTGGCTCAGAAACATTTAGAAGTCCAACTCCAAGAAACAATTTATTAACCAAAGACTAACCCAACCTAGAAGTCCAGTGTATTAGTTCATTCCAGCTCAACCGCTCAGAATTATTGTAAACATACAGTAAATAATTTGGTGTATTCATACACACAACAGACAAGCCATCTTAGTCCAACACTAACATACTAACACTCATACATATAGGTAATTTACATTCTACTGCATTATCACATTCTGGGCACATTATGTTTAGCGCTTGCTACGTTCCATTGCCATGCAAGTGAAACAGTTACATACTAACATGGATTAGCACCAGAGAAGGTAGTGTCTCTTTAGCACTGTCCTCACTAATAAATGGACATCACCACATAAACCAAGTACATACAAAAGGAAATCTGTAAGTTCTGAACCCTACTGTAATCCCAAGGTGCTTTTTTAAAAATACAAAACTAGCATTCACCGTGGCATAACCTACATGCTACTTGTAGTAGTTGCTAAAAGTCTACTCAATTTTATCATTACATTTGGAATATATTATACTATATTTCAATAGGACTAGTGTTTCATAGATTACTCAGGTTTCTGTTCAAATATTTTACATCTCATTGTCAGTCCACCTGAGTTTATTCACAGTAAGAATTAGGTTGACAATTAAAAGTGAAAGGCGTGTTTGTTCTTAATAAGAAATACAAACTTTTCTTTTCCTTTTTTTTTTTTTTTAAATCCTGGTATGATCTAGGTTTAGGAAAGGTAAATTTAACTCGCAGCATTTTCAGTCTGCAATCGTTCAATCAGCTGTTCAGCCTGTAAAGAGAAGAAAACATATTTTATTTACATGGTTGACTCTCCAGTTTATTTACTATGCAAATTATTCTGGCAAATACTAGTCAAAACAATAATTGTTACATTAGAGCACACTACACTAAACAGCGCTGCAAGTGCTTGCTACCAGACAAGACATGCAACAGACATCCGATCATACCCCATGAGTCCGCTTAAGCAGGTAATTCACAACTTTTCTATTACTGAAGGATTATTAGGTCAGAAGAGAGAAGGTTCTGTAGTGCTTAGAAAGTGGCTTGTTAAGAATGGGTCAATTTGACAGGATGCTTTGGGGATGTGTGAGGAGATTGGCATTAGAAATCAAATGATTTCCAAGTTGGCTGGCACTGAAGGGACAAGGTAGAGGCCACGGACAGGACAGGACAGGGCCATGAAAACAATCAGTTGCTGCTAGGAGTGTCACAACCAGGGTTAAAAATCATTCCCGAGAGTTTCTCCTGGGAGAGCAAATGTCTGTATACAGTCTCTATTGAGAGAAGCCACAGCACAGCCCTCCAGCATGCCAAGGTGCTTTGCTTCACCTCCCCGACAACCCTCAAGAGACCGTATCATTTACTGGACTCTAGCTAAGAAGGGAGCAGAATGTGCCCCCTTCACAATCCCCACACTATGCTGCAGGGAGAAACAGACCGTCCCCGAGCACGCTGGACCAGCCAATCAGAGATGCACACTGCTGCCATCTGTCTCCAGACAGACCGAGGGAGTCCACTGAGACGTGTGCACAGGAGCCCCTTGTTGGTGCACAGCATCAGTGCAAACCTCTGCTTTTCAGGGGTTATTGTCAGCCCTATAAGATATCCTTTTTGTTTAAACCTGTATCCAAAGGTTTTATTTAAAAAAAAAAATCACCAGCTTCTAAGGCCTAAAAGGGTAAACAGTTGAGGTGCCTAGACAATGCCTTCAAGTCACTTGCCTTGCTATATGCGATAGTATGCTACAGGTCTTACATCCCAGACCAGGGCTGTCCCACCGCTGGCTTGCAGGTGTACATGGTCCCTAAATTGTTAATCTCATGCCTCTGGATTCATGGTCCAGGCTCTCCTGCCACACCCCTCCCCTTCCTCCAGCTTCCACTGCCTATGACCTGGGGAACTTTTTGTTGGGGGAGGCACATGGTGTGGCACAGCGGGAGGAACACCTGGCAAGGCATGAAGCTCAAGTGGCATACAGTCCGGAGGGGCATGTGGCCAGGATATCTGTAGCTCTTGGTCATTCAAAAGCTGGGTAGCCCTGTCCCAGACCACTGTGCAAAAACAACAGAACAAGGCAAAATAGCCCTTACAGTTCATTTGCAAATACAACTAGATAGTTTAATTTTGTTTTGTTTTACATTAACGTGGTTCTAAATCAAGTGGCCCCCAAACCATTACAAAAACGAAATATTCCAGAATATTTTTCATTTTCTCATTTGTACCACTTTAAGATGCTATAAACCAGATAATGTCTTGGGTTTTTTTGAGCTAAGACTCCTCTGACTTCCCATTTATCTTCAGAAATCCTGTGTTAACACAGTAAGTGCATCTCACCAAAGGTTTTTTTAGTACCTATATAAAAGGGCTGTCCCAGGTAACATAGATACATTTTAATGCAGTAGGTTCTCTTCTCATTCAGTATATCTGTAATAGCAAAAGCTTCCCCACCATGTCCTGTGAGCTTGCCAGAAAGCCTGAAGGACATGCTACACCACGGATGGGCAAACTCTGGCCTGTGGGCTGGATCTGGTCAGCTGTAGACTATTTCCCAGCCACCCTAGGCAGGGACGCACAGACAGGGGATCACAGCTCTGCCCCAGCTCCAGACTAGGTTGTCACAGCTGTGAGGAGCCAGGGCACCCCTGCAAGGAGCCCTGAGCATGCAGGCTACAGATCATGACTCTGCTCTGGTTCTGGAGCAAGCTGCCCCCATTCCAAGTTCCCAGCAGCTCTACAGCAGCCCCCTGTACTGCTCTGCCATGCGTGCTGCCAGTGTGGCTCTGGTTGATTTCCATGGCAACCCCCACCTAAGCAGCCATGAGGGCAGGGGCAGCTGGGAAATGGAGTTGTCTGGCTGCCAGCCAGATCAAGTATTTTGCCCACCCCTGTGCCAAGTTGTTCGGTCACATGGCCAGTTCAACTTTTGGCATTTCCCAGTGGAGACTAACAACAAGATTATTTTTTTTTTTTTTAAATGGAGACCCTTTATTGTGGACTGGACCAAGCCCACAAAATTTTATACAATAGCTGCTGTTCAGCAGCACATATAGCAATAATATTTTACCAGGTGCCCTTCATATCCCATTAATAAATCTCTTTCACCCTACCCTCACTATATATACACATGTAGTTATAATTTTAATATGGGCCACCCACCAAATTCAAATAAAAAGAGTATTTTCCATTCATATTTTACCACTATGGTTTCCTTAAAAGGTAAAGGTCATATCACTTCTACATTTGCTCTAAACAATTTCACCCTAAAACATTTGCATAGTTAAAAGTTATCAAAATTATGGCACCAGCAGTTGGTTTGAACATGGACAATAACACTCTTGCAGAGTATTATAAGTATCTTAAAATATGAAAAGTGCACTTTTACTTACTGTGATAAACCAGTAGGAATTGATTCTGTAAATTAACCTGGACAAGAAGCCCAGTTGACTGGCTGGGGCCAGGACATGAAGGTGTAAGTGGGAGATTGAGCAGAATGGAGGCCAATGGAAACCCATTCTTAAGAAGAAAGTGGGAAAAAAAAAAACCAATACCAGTTATATTAATTTGGACATATTAAATTTAGATACAGTAATAAACCATATTAAAAGTGTTGGTTATTCTGAAATACAGCAATGACTTCAGACATAGCAACAGATACATTTACACGATCAAATACTTGTAGTTTTCATTACTTGCATTAATGCAATCTGTAAAATAACCCTTATAACATGAGTAGCAACTCATGTGACTTCTATCATTTCACTTTTAACTGAGGGCAGATAGACAGCATCAGCCTGTGGAATTTATTTCCTGCCTCCCTTTATTTTTGTATTTATATACATTTTGTTACTAAGAAAATCTTTTTTTTCAATATATTACCATAAATATATGGTAATATCATATAATTTATTAACATAAATGCATGGGGTCTGCTCTACAGCTGGGAAATCAGCAGTCCACTGTCCCTCTCGTGAAGGTGCCCTCATTCTGCTTTAACCATGGAAGGTATAGTCCCCGTATCCAAATGGGAGCCTGAATAATATTTCCCAAAGCATCTAAGAGGGGGTTAAAATTATTTCAGACAAAAATGATTTTGAACACATTCAAGATGACTAGTGCAACCATGGCCAAACTGCTGGAAAACAGATTATGTTCATTAAAAGTTTAAAATACTTTTAATAGTCATGTGTCTCATCTGTATAGGATGAGACTACAAAATTCGACTCTGCTCTGGATTCAAGGACTCCAAAGCATGCTGTTGCTACCTGGTTATGGCAATCTTTTGAATGTTTTGTTTAACATCTTCTTGCTCTCCCCCATTTCTCGTCATAAAGGCAAACACATTTTAGAAAGACACCATTTGGTTACACGAGACATTTTCAGGGAAACCAAACAAGAAATAAATCTTGTATAGAATCAGGCTTTCAAACCAATTCTGCACAAAACATTTTTCAGTGTATAGTCCAATGACCATGCACTCTGAAAGAGCCTGTGCTGTAGTTTCAAATCCTAATAAATTCTCTACTTCAGTCAAATAACCACCATGTTGCCATTGCTGCCACTATCTGTCCAATACGTATCCAACATATATCCAGAAAGTAAACTATATACCTTATATCATTCAAGTCAGTAAAGTTATTTCGCTGTAGGATGGTTTTTCCAACTTCCATCATTTTCTTCACTTTTAAAATGAAAAAAAAGGCACAACATTTAGAGTTCATACAATGCTGTACATTTACTAACTGCAGGCATCTAGAACATGGGAACTTTTCTGAAACAACCTCAATTTTGGTGGTGGTCTGAAACTGTTTTGTATAAATATTTACACTACTTAAAAATTATATTATAAATAAAAGCCTTAGTCTGTCTGTAATGCTCCGGGCCAACTGCACATGCCAATTGGCTGTGAGGGCCTGGAGCGTTATGGACAGAGAGGGAGAGGGAGACCGAGTGATGGCACCACGGGGCACTGGACAGGCCCCCCTCCCCCGGTCATTCATGATGGGCAATTTGCTAGTTCTCAATAATGTGGTACCAACAATGGAGTGAAAACTTAAGGCACTTGCAATCTGAGCTGCTTTCAGATCAGAGTTACTGTTGTATTTCATCTCCCTCTCCCCATCTCCCACAGAATAACCCAGAAAACTGAAATAGTGAATAAGACAAATAGGGTAACAGAACTGTGTACAATTACATTTGCAAGTTAAAAAAAAAGAAAAACAGCTGTATTAACAGGTGTCTGAGATCATCTATAAAGGGAAACTAATAAGCATAGTTACAGCAAAATAATTACTCCATGGAGTAACTACTTTATAATGGTTACTTATATTCTAGAAGACATGCCCACACTACAGCCTTATTGTGGAATTTGCTGGCACTAATGAATCTATAATACATCAATACTTTTACTCCTTTGGATAAAATGCTTTCATCTACAAAAAAAAAAAAAAAGAAAAAAAAAA